GAAGTGGCCGGGAACGCAAGGCGAACCTCTCCTGGCCTGACCCGCGGGACAGGAGGCCGCCCGTGTCGCCGGCGTCGCGGGGCCTCGGACTTCGTTTTTTCCTGTTTTTTTTTTTTCGATTTTTTTGTTTGTTTCCGTGTGTCTGCCTTTGTATCCGGATTCTTTTCCTTTTTTTCTCTCTTATTCAAGTTTTGTATTAATTGAATTTGGTGTGTGTGTTTCTGTGTGTGTGGAGAGGGAGAGAGAGAGAGAGAGAGAGAGAGAGAGAGAGAGAGAGAGAGAGAGAGAGAGAGAGAGAGAGAGAGAGAGAGAGAGAGAGAGTGAGTGAGTGAGTTAATCGCCAGCATGTGCTTTCTGGGCACAGGTGGTACCTGTAAGCTAAATGTGTTCCTGAGCACTTTCGGAATTTATTTTATTTATTTGTTTTTATTTCATTGCCTGTTTATTTATCTATTTATTTATCTCTCGATAAATTCCCGCCGCGAAAGACACAACCCCCACTCTGCCAAGACGAGCAGACAGACGGAAAGGCGAGGCGAAGGCGGCCTTTGCGGGGCTTCGGGAGGCGGCCATGCAGGCGAGGCTGCCTGGCCTTACTGGGGCAGCGCGAGAAGCCAGGGCGCCGGCTTATCCTCGGATCGCGGCCGCCGCCAGAGGCCTCCGATCTTCACCTTCCTCCTCTTCCTCGGCCTCTTACTCCTCCTCATCTTCCTCCTCCATCTCCTTTTCTGTTTCCTCCTCTTCCTCCACTTCCTCCTCCTCTTCCTCCTCCACTTCCTCCTCCTCTTCCTCCTCCTCTTCCTCCTCCACTTCCTCCTCCTCCTCCTCCTCCTCCTCCTCTTCCTCCCTTTCTTTCTTCTCCTCCTCCCTCTCGTCCTTCTAACCACCTCTATCCCCTCTTACTCCTATTCCCCTCCTTTTTAATTCTCTTGTTGGCTTATCATGTTGGTCCTTTATCATTTTCACACTACCCTTCTTTCAATTCCTTCGACTTTCCAACTTTTCTCCATTAGTTGCTATTCCCCGTCTTCACTCTTTACCTCCTTCTCCTTCTCCTACTATCTCCCCCTTTCTTCTTTCCTCTTTTTGTTCTCTCCATTCGTAAGAAGCCACTACAACTTTACATTATTCTTTTTCTTCTTCTTCTTCTTCTTCTTCCTTTTTTTTTTTTCTTTACAATAGTTCGAGAGGATTTGAGGCAGTCCTGCGCTGGCATTTCTCCAACTCTCTTTTTTTTTCTTCTTCTTCTTCTTCTTCTTCTTTTCCTTTTCTTTTACTTGTTTTTCATACCCCTGAGAATGTCCCCGCGTCGTTTCGTTGTTTCTGGTCTTTTAAACTGGCGCTCTACTCTGCGTGTGACGGAGGGATGGGGAGGGGGAGGGGGGGGGAGGGGAGGAGGGGAGGAGGGGAGGGGAAGTACCAGGCATTTGATGAAGAAGAAATACACAGACATTGTTGGAGTGATTGTGGAGGTCGCTTGACGAGCCTTCTGCGGCGGGACGGAAATCGTCTTGTTATTTGGGTCTCCGATTGCCCTTCCCCCCCCCCCCTCCCTCCCCGGTCCGATTCCATAACAGGAGTAGCTCCTTATCCCCTTCTCCTCCCTTATGAGGCTCCCCCCTCTTCCGCCACATTAAAACTCCCCCCCTTCCCCCCCCACCCCCCACCCAACCCATCACCACTTATCGGAAGCTCCGTCCTCCCGTTTACCCCCCTCCCCCCCCCGCCATATAATCCCCTCTCCCCCCTCCCCATCCCCGCCCCCCGCCCCCATTACGAGAAAGTCCCCAAGGTCAACGCAGGGCCGGGCGGAGGAGGGCCCTTAGGCAGATATTTTCGGGATTCTTTCTGTTTTCGAGAAGGAGAGTGTTAGATCGGCGGGAAGGCTTTTGAGCCGAGCGGAGAGGCCCTCGAGCCGCTGGAGGAGGACTCGACGTGGGAGAGGCTTTGGTTGGGGGGGAGGGGGGTGGAGCTTGACTGGAGGAGGGGGGGAGGGAGGGGGCTGGAGGAGCGCCGAGTCTCCGGTAGGACCAGGAGTGGTTGATGGCGGCCGGGAGGAGGAGGAGGAGGAGGAGGAGAGGCAGTCCTTCTCGAGGGCACCGGACGCCCGTCTCCCGTCGCTCCGCCAGCTCCAGCTACAGGAACAGCAGAAGATTCTAAAGAGGAGAGGTGAAGGGAAAGGAAAAAAAAGAGAAAGGGAAGGATAAGGCGTAATAGAAAACAAAGAAGGAATGTCAGTGACCTTAAGAGAGGCCAGGGTCAAGGAGCTCTCGTGTCCCGATCGTGTGAAAGGCCGTTACTCCAGGAAGGAAGGAAAGATACGAAGGAAGGAAGGAGTGAGTGACACTTGGAAGGAAGGAAGGAGTGAGCGACACTTAGAAGGAAGGAAGGAAGGAGTGAGTGACACTTGGAAGGAAGGAAGGAGTGTGCGACATTTCGAAGGAAGGAAGGAAGGAGTGAGCGACACTTTTTCTGCGGCGTGTCTCCGGGAAGAAGTATTATGAGCGCTGGGGTCAGCAAGACGCCATGGGGTCACGCTGCTCCTCGCACGCCAAGGCCGATGACAAGTGGGTATTCAAACAAAAAAAAAAAGAAAAAGAAAAAATATGAATGTCAAACGTGTTTTTCCCCCATTTTTTTGCAATTTTAGTGAGTGACAGATGGGAGTTGAGCAGTAGAAAGAGGTGGGTGGAGTTGGGTCGCAGTTGCATATAAAGTAAGCAAGAAGCCAAGTCGTGGGGTCGTTGGAGGCGCCTCGTCAGTACTGAAGTCGTATCGAAACGCCCGAGTCATCACAAATGAAGAAGGGACGAGCCAGTGCAAGCAAGAAGGCAAACAGGATGACTGTACTTGGCGGACTCTTTCAACCGACATCCACGCCCACGGACCGACGGACGCAAGCGAGCAAGCAAGCAAGCAAGCACGGACACACGCACGAACGCACGCACAGATCGATCGATGGCGAGACTTGCAAACTCATGCTGATTGTGTCGATTCCGCCCAGTTTGCCGTGTTTACGTTTCGATTCCTAGAACGAGAGCGATTTTTATTTTTTCTCTTCTCTTCAAGACTTTCTGGTGGATACTCATGAGAGATTTGGTTACGATACATAGAGAGATAGAAACAAAGATAGGAGAGAGAGAGAGAGAGAGAGAGAGAGAGAGAGAGAGAGAGAGAGAGAGAGAGAGAGAGAGAGAGAGAGAAGCCGTACGACCACCGGTTGTTTCGACGAAGACGTGGCGCTAACGCCTCGTTTTTACCTCGTGCTTTTCTTCCTGTTGCACATTTGCAATACGAAGAAGGAGGGGATTACGAGTGTGTGTGCGCGCGTGCGCGTGCGTGTATGTATGTGCTTAACCTTTACTCGGCGCGTTCCTAGTATTGACTTAATATTTTTTAATATCGTCAACCCTTGCTTGACTTGGGGTCAGCAAGGCCGCCGTTGCACGCTGAAAGGTCGTCCCTCCGCCCCAAGGACGCGCGCGAGGGTCTTCGCGTGTGAACTTTTGTTAAAGCCGATCGCGAGGATGTCAATTGGGGAATTTGACTTTTTGAAGTCTTTCATCCTTCCTCGGGGTGTCGACGACCAGGGAGCGAGATGTAGGTCGCGGCGAGGAGGAGGTGGAGGAGGTGGGGGTGGAGGAGGTGGGGGTTGGGGGGGAAGATGAGGAGGAGGAGGAGGAGGAGGTGGGGATGGGGGGGGGAAGATGAGGAGGAGGAGGAGGAGGAGGAGGAGGAGAAAGGGGAGAAAGGGGAGAAGAGGAGGACGAGGGGGAGGGGAAGGAGGTGGAGATGGAAGTGGATGAGAAGGAGGAGGAGAAAGGGAGGGGGAGGGGGAAAAGGAAGGGGGTAGTGGTGGAGAAGGAAGTGGGAGTCGAAGTGAAAGTAGAAGTGGAGACGGAGGAAGAGGTGGAGGTGGCAGTGGAGATATTTGTAATGGAAGCGATGGTGGTGGAGGTGTGGTGGTGAATGAGGAGGATAAAGAGAAGGAAGTTGTGGCGGAGAAGAAATCGAAGAGGGCCGGTCGCGGTGAATGTCACGTGACGTGCATTAGCTTGGTGTGAACGTGACTCTCCCGTTTTCTCTCCCACTTCCACGGGGAAGCGGAAGGGGAACTAAAATATTCCCCCTCGCTTCGGTCCCCGCTGACGAGCAGGCGAGGGACAGCGGTCGGTCGGTCGTTCGGTCTTCCAGCGTGGCACCAAACCTGTTTCAGCTAATTTCCCATCTAAGCAGGTCTGCTGGCGATCCGGGCGGGATCCGGTCCGACCACCACTTTTTGCCGCTTCCGAGGGGTGGGGGGGGAGAAGGACGTCACTACCCCCCTACATATCTCTCACGTCTACCAGGCCGCATTCTACGCATACGCACGTACGCCACTCGGGTCCAGGGGTTGGGTGCAGGCGTTCTGGTCGGGTGGACGGGTGGATAGATGGATGGATGAACAGGCGGCCGGGGATTGGCTTGTTTAAAAGTCCTTGCATCCAGTCAAGGCGGAAGGAAGGAAAGAATTGCCTTTGGTTACGCAAGCACTGACATGGAGGTGGATACGCCAGGGAGACTAAAGCACCCGATCGTATTCTCAGGAAATGTTCGTATGAAAGCAAACTCATCATATTAAATGTCCTTCAGACTGCTTGTGTAACCAAGAGGATTATCCGCGAGAAAGATACTGATATTACGTAAAAAAGGTAGGAAGCAGCATATGAAAAAGCAAGTTAGTCTTTTGGGAATGTTCCGCCTGTGTCTGAGACCTCCCGCTGTTCCTCGGAGGAAGGACTTGCCTCCCGCCATGCCCGAGCTCGAGCCTACACAGGCCGCGGGAACCACAGGATGTGTAAGTCTGCAGCAAGTTCTGCTGTGGTAGGGAGTCTTTCACGATGTTTGTACAATCATAGTCACATGCTGACGTACACATTCACTCACCCGCACTCACACTCACACTCACTCACACCAGCGAATGCCAGCTCGGCTAAGCCCTGTGGCTGGTTGTCCTGCAGGTTACCTGAATTGGGTCGGGGCAGCGGCGGCGCCTCCAGCAGCGGTGGCAGCGGCGTCGTGTGCGGCGGGGCGTGGGCCGCGTCGCCTGCCGTCAAGCCGCTTGCGCTCGTGCCCTTGGACCTCGCCTCGCCCGTGACCTTTGACCCCGGCGCCCCCCCGTCGCGCGCCCCCGCCGACCCCCAGTCCGCCAGCGCAGCCTCCGCGGCGCACGAGGAACGGCCGGACACCTCCGCCGACGACGCCCTCAGGAAGGAGCAGCCGCTCAAGGAGTCGCACGGCGAGGAGGCCCCCGACGCCTTCCCCGGCAGCCTGCACCGCAAGCGCAAGGAGCACGCCGACGGCAAGGAGGGCGGCGAGCACGACCCCAAGTTTATCAGGTATCTCAGCCGCGAGAGGCGCTAGGCAGAGAGAGAGAGGCGCAGAGCAAAAGAGCGAAAGACTGTAGGGCATGATTTTTTACACTTTGTATTATTGTTACTTTGTTATATACCGTATCGCTGTTGTTTTTTTGTACTGGCTATGCTGTATATTTGATGACTGTCACCCGTACTGCACTTGAGTGGAGGAAAAGACTCGTAATGTTCGAAGTCTTTGTGTTTGTCCCTCTTAGCTTGCACAAACCCACTGCACTTTAATGGTTGCAAGTCCTTCCTTGAAATGTAAATGCACTACTTTTTAAATATTTCTTATCTCTTCTCCTTCTTCTTCGCCTTCGTCATATCCTTCCTGGAAAATAAGTCATGCTCGACCAACCGCTGTAATGTACATTGTTTACTTGTATATATATGAGTTATTTACACGTCGGCCGTTGCTTGCAGAGTGTATTTCTTATTATACCTTTCCTGTTTTGTGGCCGCGCTGTCGGCGTGTGTACAGCGCAGGACCATCGCTGCCTGTGCCTGTATGTGGCCTCCAGACCGCAGTTTATGCCATTCGCTTTTATGTTTCTTTTTTTTTTTGCAACATGGACCTAGTGTATATGTATTGTGTGCGCATGCACACACACACACACACACACACACACACACACACACACACACACACACACACACACACACACACACACACACACACACACACACACACACATTCACAAAGAAAAAAAGACATAGATGTATCTGTATGTGTGTGCATGTGCGTGTGTGTGCGCGCATATGTACGTACTGGTATCAACTTGTATAGATAATTATTTGTTGTATCGGGGTCGGCGTTGAGATGTAGCACGCTGCTTGATGTTTCTCTTGACGCAGTTGGATATAATTCGTGGATGGATCGTTGCTGGTAATAAGTGTAATCTGTTCATGAGTATGTACAATAAACGGGTGTGTGTGTGTGCGTGCGTGTTTTCATACATATTCGTATACATGTATATGTTGTAGATTTGCACTCGCGTATACGCATATACATGTAGGCCTTTACCTTCGCATTTATATTTATGCATGTATTCCTGTTATGTACACTGATGACTAAACTGCATATGTACACATGCAGATCGCGCACACGAACCACGCGTACAAACGTTGTTACACTGCACCCAGGCACGCGCACGTACACGCTCATGCACACGCACACGAAAGTAGCTGTGTGCGTGTGACTAGTGTACGTGGTACGTGTGTGAATTATACATAATGTTTTTTTTTTTTTTTTTTTTTTTTTTTTTTTTTTTTTATAGATTACTTATTCAGCGTGTGAAAAAGTCGTTGTAGACTGCAGTGTCATGGCAAAAGTTGCAGTGATGCACATTCTATTTTTGACAATACCTCTGGGTCGAGTGTGCAATGCCAAACACAATTGTGTCTGTGTCCGTGCTGTTATTATTGTTTGTTTTTTTTCTTTACTTGGCATGGGTGAACATTTTGTTGTTTCAAGACGACCGTAGACTAACCAAAATGTTGTTTGTTTGTTTGCAGGTCTACAAGGGAGGTCGTTGATCACCTTGACAGCATTCGCCCCAAGGTCACACCATATTCCAAGGTGAGTAGAGGCTCTGTCTGTCTGTATGTCTATCTATCTGTCTAGCTGTGTATCGAACTGTCTAATTGTCTCTCTATCTGTCGGACTGTCTAATTGTCTCTCTATCTATCTAACTATCTATATATCTGTCTAACTGTCTGTCTATTTGTCTGTCTATCTGTCTATCTACCTATAACTCTGCCTGACCGTCTATATCTCTATTAAAACTCTAAATCTCTTTCTATTTTCCTTTACGCTCTTTCTCTTCCTCAGTCTTTCCTCTCTTCTCTCCCCCTTTCTTTCTCTCACGCTCTCCCTTTTTCCCCTTTTCTCTCCTTCATATTTATCCGTCCCTTTGTAAGTGAAGCCCGACAATGCAGTGATAAACCTATTACCTAATACGCCCTATTAGAAATAATATGTAGGCCTAGACTGGCGAGGAAAAGATTGAGCTAACATGTTTTTACAGATTGATAGATAGTTGAATAGATAGGTAGATGGAGAGAATTTTTAAAATTGATAGACCTAAGATGTATTAAAGATAAA